GGGACACAAAAAACGAAAAGGGGAAAAATTAGGAGGAAGGCAACGACAATCCGTTTAGCGAGAAAACATACCCCGCGCGGGCCGGCCGGGCCGGGCAGGCCAGGGCGGCCCGCCACTCGACATGACGGAGATAAGGCGTTTAGCCACATTTGCGTGCGGCGGACGACCAGGCGGACGACCAGGCGGACGACCAGGCGGACGACCAGGCGGACTCACGGACGGCGCACCAAATTCCCATTTGCAGCGACGTTCCGCCGTTCCAAGTCCGCCCGCCTCTGTCTCCCTCGCACCCCTACGGCCTTCGGCACGCGACCCAAGTGTGGGAGAGAGACAGAGCGACGAGGGCGTACCTCGTTGAGGCCAAGGGCGGATCCAGAGACGGGTTCACACCCTTTAAAACCTTACCAAGTATTTTGAGCATACACCAGCGGTTCCCAACCTTGGGGTCGCGACCCCAAATGGGGTCGCGAAAAAATTTCAAGGGGTCGCGGCGAGGTGGCTGGGGTCGCCTGGGGTCGCGGTGGTTTCCCGGCTGGCCCACACGCCGAGCACTGGCTGCTTAAATGCCGCAAAGTTGATCAAAACGGTCACAAATGTGTGTAAAAGATCGTGTTTTGGATCGACTTTAAGCATCCAGTGCTTCTGATCCGAGGCGGTAAATCACCCTCCCTCAACGGGCAATTGGTCTTTGGACCTTCCTTTTGCATGCCTTTGTTACGGAGTGCAATTATCTGACTCAGTTTGGAAGCAGTACTGCCGCAAAGTTGGTCTAAACAGTCACAAATGTCTGTCAAAAATCGTGTTTTGGGCCGACTTTAAGCATCCACTGCGTCTGATCCGAGGCGGTAAATCGTCATCCCTTAACGGGTAATTGGTCTTTAGACCTTCCTTTAGCATGCCTTTGTTACGGAGTGCAATTATCTGACTCAGTTTGGAAGCAGTACTGCCGCAAAGTTGGTCTAAACAGTCACAAATGTCTGTCAAAAATCGTGTTTTGGGCCGACTTTAAGCATCCACTGCGTCTGATCCGAGGCGGTAAATCGTCATCCCTCAACGGGTAATTGGTCTTTAGACCTTCCTTTAGCATGCCTTTGTTACGGAGTGCGATTATCTGCCTTAGTTTGGGAGCAGTTTTGCCGCAAAGTTGATCAAAACGGTCACAAATGTATGAAAAATCGTGTTTTGATCAACTTTGTGGCAAAACTACTCCCAAACTAAGGCAGATAATCGCACTCCGTAACAAAGGCATGCTAAAGGAAGGTCTAAAGACCAATTGCCCGTTGACGGAGGACGATTTACCGCCTCGGATCAGACGCAGTAAATGCTTAAAGTCGGCCCAAAACACGATTTTTCAGACATTTGTGACCGTTTTGATCAACTTTGCGGCAATACTGCTCCCAAACTAAGGCAGATAATCGCACTCCGTAACAAAGGCATGCTAAAGGAGGGGTCGCGTGGGGTCGCGAAATTTTTCCTGAGGGTCGCGGAAAGTTTTGGCTACAAATGTGGGGTCGCGAACCGAAAAAGGTTGGGAACCGCTGGCATACACTCTAAATGTTGTACAGTGAAGATTCTCCATATTATGGTGAAAATGTTCCATATTATGGTGGTGCAGCTGACTTCGTAACATACCATTAAGAATTCACTGTACCTTATAGAGATTTTGACGAATTTCGTTGGTATTCTGGAGAAAATTTCTACCATATTATGTTGGTGCAGCCTTTCACTGTAAGACATTTACTGGGTACATACGTACAAACTAATTTACTTTGTCATACGAAGAAATAGTTCGTAAATTACTTAGTATTGTCTTTGTAAACTTATGTATGCTCAAAATACTTGGTTCTTGCAAACTGCTTTGCTTTGTAAGGCCCGAAATAGTTTGTAAGGTTTTCTCAGTGCAAGGGGGGTGGGGGGCGATGTCGCAAAAGTTGCCTACCTACAGGGGCTAAGTGCGACTAGTTACCTTACCTTTCAGGCGTCTTCGCCCAAGGCTTCGCCGCCTTCGGGGGGGCGGGCGACGCCCCCATCCCCCCCCCCCTGGTTCCGCGCCTGGTTGGGGCCGGGCGCTCTCCTCCCGGACGTTCATCAGGCCAGGACGATGCGGGCCAGCAGACTGATGCCGCGAGTCGTTTTCGTCGCTGTCTCCCTTGCACGCATGAGGCGTCCCGTTTAGGTGCGAGCGAGACAGAGCGACGACAACGACTCTCGGAATCAGTCTGCACCGAGTGTCCTGGACTCTACGGCCAGGCCGGGCCGGGCCGGGCCGGGGACGAGTGTGTGGACCTCGCTCCTTGCTCCACACCTCCGCGGCACACACATACACACACACAAGCTCGCCGCCAGTTCGGCGCGCGCATTTCACCACTAAATCATACACAAATAAAAGGGGCGCGCGGCAGCAGTACATCAAACGCGGTGAAATGCCGCGGCTATTCCTGGGGCGCGTTGCGTTGCCGACGTGCCGACCAGAGGGCCGACGCGGTGCGCGTTGTCGGCTTGCCTTGCCCTCGGCTTGCCCTGCCAGGGCTCGCCTTGCCGCGCGGCCCGCTCCTTTCCCACCCCTTCCCTTTTCTGGGAACCTGTACGCGTCCCTCATCGCGCAACTATACGCCGTATTTATAAACAAGCATCTCGGGCTATCGAGGGGCACGTCGGGTGGCGGCAGGGCGGCGGCCAGAAGCCCGCCGAGGGAAGGCCACGTGGGGGCGCACCTTGGGAGCAGCCGGGCCTCGAGCCGGGCGCGGCGCAGCGCGAACTGGGTAGGGGAGGGGCTTGATAAACGCCTGAGAGGTAAGCAGAAAGACACGCATTTTGCCCTGCAGACTTGATGCCGAGAGTGGCTTTCGTCGCTCTGGCTCCCTCGCACCTGACGCCTCATGAGTGCGAGAGAGACAGGGCGACGTAAACGACTCTCAGAATCAGTCTGCAGGCAAAAAGTTTGCCACCTTGCCCCTCCTTCAGGCCGGCACTGGATCCGCCACCGGGAGCGGCGCGCCCTTCAAGGGCTGCTCCGGGATTTTCGACGAGTGTCGCGTCGCGTGTCCAAACATCCGGGACATTACAATACGTTACACGGCCCATGGGCAGCAGCGCCACATGGCGGGGGGGGGGGGGGGGGGGTGCAGCGCAGCGCAGCGCAGCGTGCAGGGCCGTGACAAGCCCAGCCCGCGCGGAGCGGCAGGCTGTCTCTCTCGCACTCGCGGAGCGCCCCGGAGGGGTGCATGGGGTGCGAGAGGGACAGCGCGACGAACGCTGCTCCCGTTGGGACGCAGCCCGCAGGCCACTCGCCGTCACAGGGCAGCACACTGCACAGCAGGGTGGGTCCGAACACTGCTTTCATCGCGCCGTGCGAGGGAGACGGAGCGACGCGTCGACGACGCACACAGCAGACTGAGAGTTGTTATCGTCGCTCTGTCTCTCTCGCACCTACAGGGGACGCGCCATGAGCGTGAGAGAGACAGAGCGAGTCAGGCTGCAGGGGCCGTCCGCAGCGACAGTGCAGCATCCCCAAGACCGAACGCTGCCACCGCCAACACCACGCGGTCCCTCCGTCCCTTGCTCTTTTCTGCGCGACCCGACGACGGCAGTGTGGCGGCGCGCGAGGTTTTTGAAACGCGCCAGACACCATCTGACACACGCGCGGCGCGAGGCGCGAGGCGCGAGGGGGGTCAATATGGCAGTGCTGCAGTGAGCGGAGGAGAGGGGAGCTCGCCACCCTCACCTGTGCGAACCAAATGGCAATCGCAAGGCCGGGGAACGAGGAGAGAGGGGGGGCGTTAAGTTAAATTGCAGTATCGGGTTGGCAGCCAAACCACCGCCTCACCCCGCGCCGCACCGCCACGCCTCGCCACGCCACACCGCGTTCACAGGCTCAGCCACAGTTTATAGGGAGTTTCAAGTGTGGAGAGAATAATAAAAGCCGGCGATAATCTGGCCGTGTGGCAGCGTGGCAGCAGCCCAGTCCCAATGAACGATAAATTTCTGCGCGAATAAAATGGCGGGCATAACGCGCCAGGCGCATACCGGACGTGTAGTGTTGTCGGCCGGCGCGGCCGCGCGGCCCCCAGCAGACTGATTCCGAGAGTCGTTTTCGTCGCTCTGTCTCCTTCGCGTCCATACGGGACGCCCCAGGAGTGCGAGAGAGACAGAGCGACGAAAACGACTCTCGGAATCAGTCTGCAGGAGGCGGTCTCAAAGGGCAGGTGGCGAGGCGGGGCGTAACTGCAGGCCTCGGCGTGGTCCTGTTTGGAGGCGTTTTACGCGTTTTACGGCCAAACGGTGGCAGTCGAGCGCAGGATCGCGTCCATGAGCAGAGCAACGCGAGCAACGCGCAGCCCGCCCGGCCCGCCACGCCGGAGAGGTAGGGAAGTGCACGCGCGGAGTATGCGCAAGTCGCGGCCCGCGGGCGGCGTCTGCTGCGACGGCGACCCGCCGCGGATACCCCGCGTCGCAGTCTCTCGCCGCGATCACGTCCGAAAGCGCGCACGGCCGCGCGCGACCGACGACGCGGTGATCGCGTCGGAACCGCGAGCAAACGACGAAATCGAGTCAAACCGCCGCGCCGGATCGGACCGGACGGCGCGATCCGCGCCAAACGCCTTCCCTCCCGCCGCCGCCACACTGCCAGACGGGCCACACGGGCCGCACGGGCGGCACCGGCGGCGGTACCCGGCGCGGCAGAGACAGCCGACGCCGAGTGTCGCTGGGAGCGCGGGGTATCGCTACCGCGAAAACCAGACGAGTGACACAGCAGTGTGCGACGCTGTGCGACCAAATGATCGTTTCGAACCGAATCACAGTGCCGACTTGAGGGTGTCATTGAACCCGCGGTTAGCCAGAGGATAAGCAACGGTCAGGGAAAAACTGCCAGTGTGTAACTTTTACAGCGGCTGGCAAACGACCTGCTCCTTGTTGGAGTAGAAATGTTCCCAGACAGAACGGAGAAGATCATCTAAAATATCTCCGGTTTGGACATATAAAAAGGCTTTTAGACTCACCAAAAATTCAGCAGTCAAACTGGGAAATCCGCTGGATGTACCACGTAATGCATTCAGGTAAAGTTCTGCAACCCAGATGAATTTTTAAATAAATATGTGGTGAACTTCCGTAGTTGTAATAATTTTGATGGTTTCTTTTGGGACATTACATGTCATGGCATGCATTTGACTTCAGTACACACAATATTAATTATACAATTTCAAGCTGCAAGAAACACGAAGTTTATGGGCTTACCTTCCAAAAAAGGGGGTTCACTTTGATGAATTTCTAGCCCTTGCCACCACGTTAAACAAAATAAGATCTGTGAATTTAAAAAAAAGACAGTTAATAGATTAGCACTTTGTTAATATTTAAAGACATGAATACAAGATAGTTTACTTACAGCTTGCAAAATGGTAACAGTGAGGCGTCAGTTGAAACTGCAACAATAAATTAAATATGTAAGTAAAGTGCCACAAATTTCTTTAACATAAAACAATTTGTCAAAGAAGAATAAGCTTTTCTCTTTCAACTGCCTTTGAAAACAACGACGTACAGCTCCTAGTTTCTACAGAAATCTACTTTCAAAACATTCTAAGCCATCCAACAGACACCTGTTGATCACGATACAGACTACACTATTTCCACTGTAAAATCATCACGAAAAATCGCACGCAGCAAGAACACGCCATTCTGTTCGAGTTGCCATGAACATGGTGCTGCATAACAGCACAAAAACTCCCTGCCATGGTCCATTGGGAGCGCGAACGGACACATCCACCACACGGACGCAGGTTAGGATATGTTTATCGGCATGTCCGCACGGCGCTCACACGCGATGATTCACCAAAATTCGCATCGCGACGCAACAGAGGCCTCAGACAATGCCATAAATTATCCACCACAAAATCTCCTTTAAAAGCAAGGGTTCACTAACAAATATGGTAAGTGCAAGGTCCATACAGTCCTTGGACCTCTCGAGCTCGCGACGAGGAACTTATCAAAATAAAAGCGTCACTCGCTGGATTCGGTCACACCTAGCACAAGTTACCTTGGTAGAGGCGACACAGGGACGTTAACACGACAATATTAGAGAGACTTTGTAAAAATTATCACGTGGGTAAATAAACAAATCGAGTAAAATCATGGGAGAGCACCACACACTTGTGTTTGTTGCAGTTGCAACAGGCAGACACTTGTTGGTTTTGATGCCAACCTTCCGAACGCTACATTCCAAAGCCCGGTTTCCGTCTCGAAGGACGGCTTGTCAAGACAAAATTTAAGTGAATCTCACGAGAGCGTAGTTTCGTACAAAGATGCGGTGAGGTGCGCACTTTGACATTAAAAGCGGCGCTTGGGAAGCCCGGAAACGAGTTCAAGTTTTCATTGCGGGGCGTTGGCAGCGGCCGGCAGGTCGCGCTCGTGGTTTGGTTCGGTTCGGGAGTTCGGGCGTTCGGCCCACTCCACCGCAAATCGCGATCGCGGCGCTTTCTCGCCCTCGCCCCGTTACCTCGACGGCGGACGGCGTACGGCGTGGTGACACGACGTCGTCCCCGTCCCCGTCCGCGCACGCCGAAAATTGAGTAACAATTGCGCGCTCCAGATTCTGGATTTCAGTCGGCCGGCTGGCCGGGACCGAAGGGTGTGGGCTCATCCTCGGAGCACGTACTACACTAGAACGGCGCGTCGGGGCTATGATCAGCGTTCAATACACTTGAATTCCCCATAAAATTCAATGGATTTGTTGCAATCTGTCCACCTTGGCCGCCGGGTTCGTGACCGTGTCGGCGTCGGCGGGGCGCGCGTTGCCCCGCGGCGTCAGGCTGACGGCAAGCCCAGGCCAGGCCACCTGCCGCTGATTAATTCACCCGGATCGTCACCTAAAATGCGACGCCGGACGTCGACCACGCCAACGCGTACCTGAAGACGGCTTACATGACCCTCGACAATGTGTGGCGGGGCGCGGGGCGCGGGCCCGGCGGCGGGCACGGCGGCACGGCCGGGCGTTGGCAAGGCGCGGGCGGGAGGGGCGGCAGGTGAAGGGGCGGCCCGGCTGGCGCCAGCGCGTCGCGCGGGGCACCGCCAGCACCGCCAGCTCGGCCTGCCCGACAGCCGGGCCGGGGCTCTGGGCCGGGGCTCTGGGCCGGGCCTGGGCCGGGGCTCTGGCGGGCGGCCGGGGCTCTGGCCGCTCGGGCGCTTCCGGCCGGGGGCTCTGGGCCGGGCACGGCCAGGCAGGCGCGGAGGGGCACCGGGCCGGCCGTCGTCCGAAAAGGCCGTCGTCCGGGTTGCTCCCCGGGGCGTTTGGGCGCCGGCCCGCACGCAGCCCCGCGACGGTGCGGACGGAGAAAGGCGGGGCGCTTGTTTTTCTGGCGGGTACGCGGCGGGTACGCTACGGGGCGGGTTGGACGGGTCGCGCCGAGGCACGGCGAGGCCAGAGCGCGGCACGGTGCGCGGCGTAAGCGCGCCAACGCGCCGAGCAAGCCGCGAGGCAAGGCGTTGTCGCGCGGTAGGGCTGCAGCGGGGCCGGGCCGGGCGGCCGGCGGGGCGGCGTTGGGGCCCGGTCGGGTGGGGACCGTGGGGACGGGACGGGACGGACCGCGGTGGCCGGGCGTCCCCGACAGCCGGATTCGAATACGACACGGCGACGGCGATAATCGACGCGGTTCAAGGCTGGGGCAGTGCCGTGGCAGTGCTGTGGCAGTGTTGGGGCGGCCCTCTGGCGCAGCGACGCTCCGCTGCGGCCGCCGATCCGATGGGCGCCTCCACTTGGATCGCGATGTCGCGTCGCTCGACGACACGGGGGGGAGGGGTCTGAAATCCGCTGAAATGGGACGCGAGCGTCGTGACGCACACTGCGACTCTGCGTGCGCCGCGTGCGCGTGTTGGTTTGAGCGTGTGAGGAAGGGGGAGGGGTGGGGGCGTCGCGGTCCATCTCGAGAACGGCGGTCAGCATTCTGCGTTCCTTCTCTCCTCCAGACTCCAGAGCGACGCCAAGCTCCGGCCTGCCGGGCCGTCCCACGAGACGCTGGCTGGCAACGCTGACGCTGCACGGCGCCGGAGAGGCACGGCCGGTGCATCGGGCGAGGCGAGGGGCGCGGCGTCTGCTTCTGGCGTCGTGGAGAGGTTTCGGGAATGCAGGGTCGGGCCTTCGCCGCCGCAGCGACGTCCAGGCGACGCAGCGCCGCAGCCTTGGGCTGCGTAGGGTAGGGCCGCCGGACGGCCCAGCCCGGACGGCCCGGCCCGGACCCGAAGACGGCACACGGCGACGTCAGGTGGAGGTGGGGCGGCGCGGCCGGCGCGGGCTGAACCGGCGGCGGGGCGGCGCGGGGCCGCGGGGGCCTGCTCGCCGGCCCCAACCCGGACCGGCTTGCCCGGGTCGTCCGGGTGGCCCCTGCCGCCCAGACACCGTCCCGACGTTGCCTCCACCACCGTCACCACCACCGCCACAGCGCCGCCAAGGACGACGACGAGACGACGACGACGCGTTGGTGCGGCCAGGCGCCGCGGGGTACGGCGGGGTGGGGCCGCGTGCTGTACCTGGAAGGGGCAGGGCAGGACAGGCGTCCGGACGACCAAGGACCGGGCCACGGCGCCCACGCCACGCCACGCCGGCCCCGTGCGGGTCCGCCGCCGTACACGCGTCGCCGTGCGTCGCCGTCGGCCCCCTCCTCCTTCGCCCCGGTCTGATGCTGGCCGGCCTGATGCTGTTGTCGCGTCCCGGGCCGTCGCGTCCTCCTCCGCCGTCGTATCTTTACGCCGTCCCACGCCAAGGCAGCGCCAAGGCAGCGCCAAGGCAACGTCGCGACGCGGTTTGGAGCGGCGGGGCGCGGCGCGGCGGCGCGGTGCGTCATGTGGTCAGTCACCTCCGCGCCGTTCGGAAACAGCGCCTTTCTCTCCGTCGGTCGACAAATCCGACCGTCGAGAGTGCGGCGCAGGGCGGCGCAGGCATGGAGGCAGGGCCAGCAGGCCGGCAGGGCGTGGCGGCGGCTGGCGGTGCACTGTGCAGTGCTTGCGGTGCTGTGCAGTCGCTAAGCCCCTCGCCCTTCGCGGCGATGACGCCTTCCTGGCCGCTGGCGACGCCGCGACGCTGCCGCCGGCGAGGACACTAGACCACGGCATCCCGCCCTGCCGCAGAGCGATGACGACGGTGTGCTCCGTACTCACGCTCGTTCGTCTTGTTGTTCGCCGACGTCGACGCGTCCGGACGGTGGCCGCCTAGTGCAGTGCGCGCGGGGCGCTGCTCGGCGCTGCGTGGCCCGGGGCGGCGGGGCTGCGGAGGGGCCTAGCCGGGCCGGTCGGGCGGATCGACTGCAACAGCACAGCGGTTTGGCGCTTGGAATTCCCACGGGGCCTTCATCACATCGGACCGTGTCGCCGCCTCGCCGCGCGGTGCACCGGGACGGGGGGCAGGGCGGGGCGCGGCGCGGTGGGGTGGGGCGCTAGCACTAGGGGCGCATCGCACGCAGAGCTTGGGATAGATACCTAGGCCCTTTTCGAGCGTATGAGATACGGGTCTCCATGAGGAAGATGCACCCAGCCGTCGTCATCGGCTTTCGCTACTGTGCTGTTTCCATGCTGCGGACTCAGCTCTCACTCTCTTTCCACCCGCGGCCCCAGGGAAGGCCACTCACTGGTCACACCAAATACGCGGTACAACAAAGTGCGCCGGTCTCGAACCAACTCACTTGCAAGTTGTTTCTCAAGCCAACTAGCCAAAAATGGTCCCGGTGTAGGAGGCGAATTGTACCCGTCGGCGCAGGGTACCCCCGGGTACACAACGCCTAGGGCCATGGTACCCTGGGGTACACGACGCCTAGGTTCAATGTACCCAGGGTACAATGCGCCTAGGTGCCAGGCGAATTGTACCCCGGGTACAATGCGCCTAGGCGAAAAGTACCCCGGGGTACAATGCGCCCAGGCTTATTGTATCCCCCGCCGGCCGGAGGGGGATGCACGTCGCCTAGGCGCAATGCATCCCCCCCGGGTGCAAAGAGCCTAGGCGAGGAGTATCCCCTCGGCCGGCCGGAGGGGGTACAATAGGCCTAGGCGCAATGCATCCCCCCCCGGGTACAAAGAGCCTAGGCGAGGAGTATCCCCTCGGCCGGCCGGAGGGGGTACAATAAGCCTAGGCGCAATGCATCCCCCCCCCCGGGTACAAAGAGCCTAGGCGAGGAGTATCCCCTCGGCCGGCCGGAGGGGGTACAATAAGCCTAGGCGCAATGCATCCCCCCCGGATACTAGCCAGGGGAAGGCCTTCGGCCTCGATGCTGAGCTGGATTCTGCTGGAGATGGAAATGCATTTTCATCAGTAGTAAATTTGGATGTGTTTATTTTGAAAATGAGCCTCTTTTCTTTTTGGGGGGTGATAGCCAGGAAGTATGCTTTTGCGCGAAGGATTGTGATTCGGCAATGGTTGGTTTCTCCTTGAATCGACGGAAGGCTATTTAATAATCTAAAACTAAATGTTCCAACCAATCCTAACCTAACCTAACGGGCTCGTGACAGATCTTACTCTACTCGTGACAGATCTTACCCAACTCTCGACAGATTTTATTCTCAAACTAAATGGTCCAACCAAACCTAACCTCACCTAACGGGCTCGTGACAGATCTTACTCTACTCGTGACAGATCTTACCCTACTCTCGACAGATCTTATTCTCAAACTAAATGGTTCAACCAATCCTAACCTAACCTAACGGGCTCGTGACAGATCTTTCTCTACTCGTGACAGATCTGTCCCTACTCTCGACCGATCTTATTCTCAAACTAAATGGTCCCCGGGGGGGGATGCATTGCGCCTAGGCTTATTGTACCCCCCTCCGGCCGGCCGAGGGGATACTCCTCGCCTAGGCTCTTTGTACCCGGGGGGGATGCATTACGCCTAGGCTTATTGTACCCCCTCCGGCCGGCCGAGGGGATACTCCTCGCCTAGGCTCTTTGTACCCGGGGGGGGGGGGATGCATTGCGCCTAGGCCTATTGTACCCCCCTCCGGCCGGCCGAGGGGATACTCCTCGCCTAGGCTCTTTGTACCCGGGGGGATGCATTGCGCCTAGGCGACGTGCATCCCCCTCCGGCCGGCGGGGGATACAATAAGCCTAGGCGCATTGTACCCCGGGGTACATTTCGCCTAGGCGCATTGTACCCGGGGTACAATTCGCCTGGCACCTAGGCGCATTGTACCCCTGGGTACATTGAACCTAGGCGTCGTGTACCCCAGGGTACCCTGGCCCTAGGCGTTGTGTACCCGGGGGTACTCTGGGTCGGAGGGGTACACTTACACTCCGACACCGGCTCCATTGGCCTGCCTTTCATCGAGCTGGCTGAATGCTTAGCAGACTTATTTCGCGGAACCGCCGGCCAGACTGAACAAACGACTGGTCGTTTGAAAATCCCATTCAATTTGCGTTCCAATGTTTTGGGTATCGAGTGAGGATCGAAACTGCATAAAATATACTGCATTCCGCAAAGAATGGTGGCCGCCCCGCAGGGCCAGGATAGGCAACAAGCTTTGCCGCGCCGCGCGACGTGCTGTCTGGGTTCGCTTCGCCTCGGCGGGGTGAATTTTCCGAGAGGAAACAGTCTCATACCTAGCGAAGTGGCGGGAACAAAATCGATATGAGAAATTCCGATTCTGATTCCTTTCACTTCCAACAACACGAAAAAAGCAGAACAAACTTTTGGTGTGTGTGTTTGGCTACCAAACTAAATGCTGCTTTAATGACAGTCTTTTACGAACTCATCGACTGTTACTTTACGCTGTGTTCCAACACTTTCCAAATGTATGAACGTTGAACATAGTTGCGTTATTTTCTTTTACTGTCAAGTCGTTCTAGGTTATTCACATAGAAATGAGCTCTAAAATTCATCCTATGGTAAGATATCATTAAATGAAATAAGATTTGACGATGAAAAGGTTACATCTTTGTAATCTTTTTTTTAAGAACTTGGTGTGGGCTTAGTTAAGTTGTGGGTTTTGTGCATTTTGCATTGGTGCTTGATGCTGTATCGAACCACAGAGTGGAAAATCTTTGGAACTAATTTTGGTACACATCTTGTGCAGCTGGAGACATTTCTGAAGATTGGCTGCAGCGATATGAAGGCAGCTTCTGCTGCTTTTGCCGTTTACATGGATTTGGCAGAAGGTCGGATGCAGTGACGTAATTACATTAATTGCCTACTTAAACTTGATTACCTTGATTGTGTATGTGTGTTACAGTGAAGGCAGTGTGGGATCTTCAATACGCCCTCTGTCAAGAGCTGGATTTAATATATCTAACAGCGAAAGACAATGCGACGGACACTGAACCAAGTATTTATTTACCACTTCCTGCATCCCACAGTATTTCTGCCGAATGGCTCTTAAAAGTACAAAATACTTTGCCTATAAGAAATAAAAGGTGAGTTTTGATTTACATGCTCAAACCATTCAGTTTTTGTGATTTCTTCTATTTTTTGTCATTATTTTTTCAGTGTGATTATGGCCTTAAAAGATACAGACTCTACCCTAGTATATTATAATGTAACAGAAGGGTTATCTTCACCAGATACACCGGAAGAAGTTCAGAAAAAGAAGGCAACCGAAGATTCAAGGAAATTTATGCAAACTGAGTTATGGAGGAAACGAAAACAACTGTATGAGTCAGCTAAGAGCGCTTCTCAACACAATGATGACAAAACCTAGCATCAATCCATGTGAAAAAAATGTCTGTCAATTATTAAAGCTTCTCTTCATTTTTCATTTATTTTTGCTGTTATTTACCTTTTATCACCATTAGCTCCGAAGCAGGTCTACGATGACTTTGTCCAACTTTTGACACAAGAACGCAGCGTTTTGAATCCCACCGCGCGTCGATCCACTGTTTTTGCACATGGCCAACCTCCGCGACCGAACGATCCGTGTTCTCAAAGAGTGTCCAGACCCCCTCTAATGGTTAAGTGATGTGAACCATTGAGCTAAAAGGCCCACGCGATTCGAGTCTTTTGACATTGGCGCTCCTTAACGAATAGAGTCCTAAAGGCCTTTAGGACTCTACTTAATGAATCGGGGTTCTTATGAAATTTTCATAGCTTCGCTCGCATCGCAAGGCGGCGGCGGCTTTGCACTTCGCACGTGTTTGTTTTGATCAGTCGCGCCGGCTTGAAACCATATCTTTGATGAGTTCTTTCGCGTCCAAAGCTATGTCGGAGTCGAGTTTTCTAGCGGGGCCACGCCCCATCGTGCCTCCGGGCCCTGTCCCCATCGCCGTCGATAAGCACTACGACTTCCTTGACTGGAGTCCAGGTAGGTTAGAAAGAACCAACTTGGGGTGGACACTGTTTATAAAGTGGGTTTTAAGTAATTTGTTCCAAAAGTCATGTTTCCGTATCGTATAGGTTAAAAATATCGATGTATTAAGAGTGTGTGTCAGATAGGCTCTGTTCACCGGTGCATTGCCTTTGTTCTCAATGTATTGAGTAGTAGGGTTTTGACTGATTTTGCTTGTCATTAAACTGTATGTTTTGCTTTGTTTTCTTGCAGATGGAGAGTCTCTTTTCCTCGGAACGTCAGAATTAACGTCGCGTTCCTGGGCAGGCTCGATATGGGTGTTCAATTCCAAAGAAACACAATGTGCCAACAACAACAAACCGTGGCGACCTCAAGCTGACGAATGTGTTGTTGGTGCTTCAATGGATTGTGGTGTCACAGTGGGGCGATTCATGAGATGTCCTGACAGGGTATTTGTCTCACTTGCGATTTGAAAAAAGTTTGATGAATTGCAACATTACTAACATATTCCTTCAGTTGGTTGTAGGCTGTGATTCAGGTGCGGTGCAAGTCATTGGACTGAGGCAATACGGTGAAGCCACGAAGCTGGAGGGCGAAGGTAGTTTGTCTGAACATAATGATACTGTTTTGGACATTGATGATCTTGGTGGAGAGGGAGTAGAGTATGTAACTTGTAGTCAAGATAAGAGGTACTTTGAACTAATTTTAATGTTTTTGACATTCTGACTCTGACCAAAAGTTTATTTGGTGGTAATTTCTTTTTCTTAACTATTTCAGTATTAAAGTTTGGGACCTGGATGTCTTAATTTCAACTCGGACATTTTCTCCTGCACATGCCCATATTGTAACGTCTGTTAGGGCCCAGCCTTCTCAATCTAAATGCTTTGCCTCCTGCGCTCGTGATGGCTCTGCCCTTCTTTGGGACATCAGAGACGATAATCCTGCATCTAGTAAGCATATTTGACAGTTCTGACGTCTTGTTTGTTGATACTGCATGAAATCACTAAATGATTGGTATTATTATTCAGAGATTATGGACCCATGTGGTGTCGGCCTCACATCACTTGCTTGGGTTGATGAGACAAATATTGTTGTTGGAGGTGTTAGCGGGCAACTAATTGTTATTGACATCAGAAATATAAGTGACATCAAATTCAAGTTGCAGCTTGACCACAGGCCAGTGCATTCATTGAAATCTATTCCAGACAAGTAAGTGAAATTCTGGGATATACCTTACCTTTTGCAGATTTCAATCAGTCAACTGTTTTCATATACTAATATTTTTGTTATATTTTTTGATTGATGTTTAGCAGTGGCCTTGTAGGTGTTTGTCAGGATAATTCCAAAGTTTCTGTTGCACAGTTTGAAGGAGAAAGCCCACAAATCTTGTGAGTAAATCATTTTTTAAAATCACTGGCATAACCAACTGTTGTATCCATCCTTACTGTCTTTTTTTTCTTCTTTTAGGTACTCTAATGATAGCCATGGAGATTTTGTGCGGGGACTATCATGGCACCCTCAAAATTTTTCTCTTTGGTCATGTGGATGGGATTCTTACATCATGCCCCACATTCCCAGAAGTGTTAATGGTTCAACATAGCCTTTAACTCCGACATTTTTTTTTGTATCACCTGCTATATTCTAAAATTAATCTTGGATTATTCCATAATCACTTGAAAAACTTTCAGAAAAAATGTAATTCTTAATGAAATTTTCCTTTAGTACTTCACTCCAATTATTTGAAATCAGTACCTATTTTTATATTGAATATAACTTGAATGAAATGAACTGTATTCTTTTTCTACATACCCCTCCTGCTGCCAGATTTGTCAGACTTGTAGAAAATGAGAGATATGATGACCATTTTTCAAGGGACCGTACTACTTGCTCCTACTGTTTCTGAAAATTTTCAGAGAACAACTTACTGGTACAAAGTGGAAAATAAAAAGGGAAGTTTCAAAAACAGGTCAGGTACAAATTTAATGAAACTATTTTACAAATAGGCTGACTAACAACACAGTCAATCATACTTTTTCACATCCACAATAACAGTATATGTCCAAAGCAAAACCTTGTACTCACTCCAAAATCACAGAAAACAGCACTATTTGCAAACTGGGACCTTTGATGAAGCTCACACAGCTTGGGTGGTACCAGTCACAGGTGTCCCAGTCCATAGAAGAGCTGTAATGTTCGGGCAGCCTGCATGCACTGTAGGGTGGATCATAAATTCTGACCCCTCAATTTTATTGGTGAAATGGAGTCTCGAGGAAAGTAGAAGACAAGATGGTTTTGATCGGGAAAAAATTTGAACATAAGTTTTGACTGGGGGCAGGAGTAGTGACCCGGACCCTAAATATACCCTGTACATACAGGGTCACTATAGGCAGGAGGTAAGCAGCGCTCCCCTCCGCGCGTGCGGGCGCGGGGTATTGCTGGCGTGGGGTAGTGCGGGCGCGGGGTAGCGCTCGCGATGCTTCCCCCACCACCCTCCAGCCGTCCCGATCCAAAACCTGTCTTCTGCTGCTGGCTAACAACAACAAAAGTTTATGTAAACACAAGGCTCAATTTAGATAAAATGGAGACGACCAACAAATTTAAGACGGATTTTAAATACTACAAACAAAAGTGCCCTTTACCTGACTTTTCCAAAGTTTTGGACTTTTCGAATATAAAGGAGGAGACTGGGTTGAAGGTAGTTTTAAGGTTAAACTCAATGCTATGTAGGTGATAATAAATGGATCTAACTGGATTGTTTTGTTTCGCATTTTATCACAGAGATTACATGCTGACATATCAGGAAAATTTGTTGAACGTGATAATGAAGAGGCCTTTGTCGCTGGTTTAATGATACCTCCATCAGAATGGGTCATGTACGAAGTGCTCGATAAACCAGGTGAGACAGTCAACGATAAATATTTATCAATAAAACTGTCAACTGTCACGTTTTTTTGGTTTCTTTTTTTAAATTTACCCTAACTTTCTTTTACAGGGTTATTGTTTATAAAAAATCCATTCAATGCCATTGGACAACGATATTGGATTTACCGATGTCTTAGGGACTACACACGCCGTCCAAATAGATTAAACATAGATGCACACCACATTTTAAACAAAAGTAACGAATGGTGGGATTCTTGTCAAGGGTAAGAGTAGAAATATAAAAATTTTAAAATTAATCTTTCATTTAAAATTATGACAACTTTTCTTGCCCTTAGAGACGATGAGCACAGCAAATCTCTGAATAGAAAACTCAGATGGGCTACCATGGGCTACCATCACAATTGGGACACAAAAGTAATTGATTCATTAAAAATTATTACCTAATTAAAACCAGACTATCTTAAAAACTTTTTCGTGCTTTTGTTTTAGGTGTACAGTGAAGACATGAAGGATCAATTTCCAACTGATTTGGCTGATTTATCAAGATATGTAGGGAGGATCATTGGTTTCCAGGATGATTTCAGTGCTGAGGCTGCAATAGTCAACTTTTATCACTTCGATTCAACTCTCTCTGGTCACACTGACCATTCAGAAATGAATATGACTGCTCCTCTATTTTCTTTCAGGTACGATGTGCAGTAAGTAATTTGGTTCTATAAAATAGGACTTTACCTTTTGTGAACAGGATTTATGAAATATTTTGTGTATTTTACAGCTTTGGCCAAACTGCTATTTTCCTACTTGGTGGTCCTTCATTAGATGTTGCTCCAACAGCAATGTACATAAAGAGTGGTGATATAGTTATAATGTCAGGGCATAGTCGAAAATGTTACCATGGAATTCCCAAAATAGTTCCTTCTAAGGAAGCACCATGGAACATGGATAATATTTCTCCTTTGGCTGATTGCAATTTTCATTCTAGAACAAGTGAGGAAAATGAAGAGTTTTCTCCCAACCCTCCTTGCAAACGGTCAAGAGTGGAAAGCTCTGTCCAGTCTGAGATTATTCAAAATCTTTCATGTGAAAAGTTCTGGAAACCTTTCTGTAGGTACATTGAGCACTCTAGAATAAATATGAATGTTAGACAGGTGTTGTTTAAAGGAGATAAAGCATTAGATAATAAAGGCACCTGACAGTTGATATATTTCAAACCAATCTACAAGGCAAATTTATTTTATACCTTCCTCTTCTTAATATTTTTTTCATTAGATTGATATTTTCTTTTTCCAAAATTATGTTTTCCCATTGTTTTACCTTCTTCTCCACTCGAAGATTGAACCTTTATTTTCTTCCTGACTCTTTGTCTGTTCGCACTGTCTGCATCCTAATAGGCAGAAATTTACATATTAGTTAAATTATCACAGCCAAGCAATTTTCTACTGCTGATGAGACTTACCTCCGAATTAGTCCTAATAGGACACTCATTTTTCTTGTGGCCAGGTTTGTGGCACAAAAAGCAACCAGCTGGCTTGAAGTCACCACATTTGTGGTCCGGAAGGCAGCACCGTTTGCATTCTTTGCAGTGCTTCCAAGACGGCTTCACACATCTAGCACATCTATCACAATGTACATATGTTCGGCCATCCTTCATGGGAGGACAAAACAAGGAGTAATGAGGAACTGCCATAAATTTGCATTGAACAGGAAAAAGAAGGCTGGGAGTCCTTAATTTACCTTTGACGTGCAACTACTACATTTAAAGCAATGTTTATTTTCTGAGCTAACCCACTTCTCACAAAAATCACAGAACCTGTAACCCTCTTCTTCAGGCAAAGGAAGCTTGGAAGGAAGTATGTTGGTAAATATTCTGACTGGGGATCCATATTTACGACCCTTATGACCTATAACATCAAAGGAAGCTTTCATTATTGAAGCAAATGAATTGCTGACATTGTAATTATATGAACATTATTTTCTTTGTTAATTTACCCTGCTGGAAGAGTGGGTGGTTGTCATAATCTACTTTATAGTCCAGCATTGACATACTAGGGTTACTATCTAATATCATGGGCTCCATAAAATATGGAAATATCCACATCACTGTCACAAGAGATACGTATTATTATTTATTATTGCAAGAACTAATCAAGGTAAAACGTCAACAGCAGAAAAGTCACAATCGCACACCAAAACTTACAGGACAGGGCACCATTTCTATCCGGATGCAACTCCTTGTGAAACACATCAAGACGTTGGAATGTATAAACAAGCGGTTCTGCACGTCCCCCAAAAGGAGGGTCTGTCACAATCGCCAACTCATTCTCTCCTGCCTGCCTCATAAATTCTAGAGTTGAGGTTTTTCCTTCATCCTCCAAAAACCAATGGCAGTTAAAAGCATTGAACCACGAGAATTCTTTGTCTCCATAAAACTGGTGCTGAAAGGGAAAGTCACCCAAATGACAGTTCACTAAGTTTCGGTAAAACGTGATAGGAACCTCACAAACTACTCACATATCGATGGTCAAAATCCAACAACAGACTTTTCATGTCAGAGGAGTGAGTGGCCCGTACAAACTCGTGTATTCGGGGCGCCCCTATGCAAAGCACAGAACGAATTCCAGCACTGCGCAACATATTAACGATGGCCTGGGTTGACCGCTTTGCAAAAAGGTATTGGGCTTCCTTCTTTGCACTTTCCAAAGGCTTCATGATCTGTTTAAGTCAAACACAAAAGACAAACATATTTATCATTGAGACACATAGTTCCGGTTGTATTTGAAACGTCGACCTGCTTCCCGCCTTCTCCCACGTATGAGAAACGTGGCAGACAAAAGAAGGATGAAAAGTTATCTATCTTTGTAAAATGTTTACGTTCGTTTCTCCTGCTTTTAGAACAGCAAAATGTGGATAAGCAAGTTCCTGAACTGACCTCTGTCAAGAGAAAGGGCAGAGAAGTGTTGCCGAGATCGACGGCGAACAGCTTCCATTCATCAACGCCTCCATAACCGAGAAACAAGAATGACTCTACCGACCTGTCTGCTAGTTGGCCTATGTTTTTGTTCCATTCTGGCCGTGATTTCTGCTAATTCTGAATTTTGTGCAGCCGGCCAGCAAAAAAATGAGGGAAATTGTGGGAAAGAAACTGAAGACAAGACATCATTCTCGTCTGCCATTGCTTCGCGCTATCTTCTTTATGATGTAAATCCACCTGAAGGGTTCAACTTGAGACGTGATGTTTACATGCGATTGGCAATCTTTGTACGGAGCATGAAGAAAGAGGGCAATTGGAAATTGGTGCTGCCCCCTTGGGGTCAGATGTATCACTGGCAGTCTTCGAATGTAGGAGAGCAAACAAAACTACCTTGGAGAATGTTCTTTGATGTGCCAAGTCTCCAAAATTTTGCCCCTGTGATTGAAATGGAAGAATTCCTTGCTACAGTTAGTAAAGGGAAGGCAACAATTGAAGAAGTGTATGTACTTCAACATTACAAGGATATGTGGGATGAAGGCAGAGAATGGAAAGACCGATGGGATATTGAGAGGTGTGCTGATAGTATTCCCTACACGAAAGTTGGCAAAGTGTATAAGGGGCCTTTTTGGACGTATGACAATGTCACAGCGCAGAAAGTGGCCTGCTTGTCTTTCCAGGGGCATGCATCTCTACTCAAAGAGTTTCTGAAAACAAACAAAGCAAAGTCAGTCATGATCGATCATGCTGAGGTGGCTTTGCATGACTCCTATGGGGATCGCACCTACTGGGAGGCTCGGCGTAGCATGCGGTTTGCACAGAGTTTAGTTGAAATAGCGAATACATTCCGTAAAGATCATCTGCATTCATCTGATGAAGAGGACGGAATACAACGCCCTAATGATTGGAGAAAGGAAACTCAAAGGAACATAGCTGGAGGAGGACCTTATTTGGCTGTTCATCTGAGAAGGAAGGACTTTCTTTGGGGGCGTTCAAAAGAAGTGCCTGATCTCCGATTTGCTGCAAAACAGTTAGAAGAGCAAATGGAGAAATTGCAGTTAAAGACAATTTTTGTAGCTTCAGATGCACCAAAGCCAGAGTTTGCGGAGCTTAAAACTCATCTGTCAAAATATAAAGTACTACGTTTTGAGCCTACCCCAACAATAAAGTTCAAAATAAAAGATGGAGGGGTAGCAATCGTTGACCAGATAATTTGCTCTCATGCTAAATATTTTATTGGAACCTATGAATCTACATTTTCTTTTCGGATTCAAGAGGAAAGAGAAATTATGGGTTTTCAAAGAAACATGACATTTAACCGCCTGTGTGGAAGGCAAGAGGGCACTCCCTGTGCACAGCCAACTCAATGGCCAATTGTTTTTTAATAAAACTTAGAAATATGCTCAAGTGATATTATACTTAATTTCATGCAATAATAGGGTGTTAAACCAAAGAAACTGTTTATCTAAGACTGAGGTAAAGCTCAAGTTAAGTAATTTAAATGGTATAAGACGCACAATAAATGAAACTACATTGCCCCAAAAAATAATTATTAATTCATTAATTAATACTGTTAGATCTCCTGTTTTCAATGTTTTTCCTTAATTATTCCAATTTTAATACTGTATCATGCTTCTAAATTTTAATAGTTATGTCTGTACTCAAATTTAAAGCACAACTGTAACATTTAGGTTTTGTAAGTTTGCACTTCCAATCATTGTCATAGTGAACTAAGATGAGAGTTGATCAAATGTAATATATGCTAGTACAAATAATGCTATATGAGAAAGAACAGAATTTTTCTGCTCATTTCCCAGTGATAAAATGCCATATCATTCATTGTTTTAGATAGACTAATAAAAATGAATTTCATTGACATCCTGAGTGGTACTCTTCCTGTCTTGTCCTCTCAATGTATTGGTAAATAGAATCAGTGCAGTAGTAAAATTATGCAATCCCTTACCTCTGAAGGATGAGAAAGCTGATAGTCAGAAATTTTATCTGTAACATCATGATCAGCATGGCTACTCCTTTCTTCAGACGTTAGCAACAGATTGCAGGAATGACAGTAGCTCCGGTCTTTGGATTGAATTTTACGGATCTTCTCTAATCTGCAAACTTAAAAAATTATAAAAAAAACTCCTGCTGGCCCAATATTTCAAAAAGTTGGGATTAAAGCTTTACCGTTCCGATAGCTGGCGACGGTCAATGGAGGGCAGGATGTGCTTTCTCCTTGTGTCCCAATGGGCCTGCTTCTGTGATGTCCACTCATCTCCTTGCTTTAGAAAAAAGTTACAATCTTTCCTGTCTCGACATGCTGCACATGCATAAAACTTTTGCTCCTCTCCGTCAATTGTTCGCTTGAAGAGAATAGTTGGTCCTGTTCATCAACAGGCAAAATAACATCAACACCCAAACTAACAGAAATGATAGGTACTAGATTTCAAGAATAATTACTCTTTGAACACACCATGGGGACAGCTGGGATTATTTTCTATCCCATCCAAAATAACTTGGACCCCATTAGAACCCTCCATGAGAGAAGAAGAGGTTAGAACGGAACATGCAGTCTGACGAACGACTCCACATCAACGCCAGGTATTTGCCTGGATATGCACAGTTGTTTGCGTTCAATTACAGGACACTACTGGATTCTAGGGTGAAACAGTGCAGAATAACCAATGTCAACATGTCGCTGGCAGACGGAGACGAACGAGCATGTGCGCCGCCATTGTTGTTTACTCTCGGGACGGGGCTGCCGCTCGCTGCTCGACGAAAAAAGAAAACAAGGGGACCTTTTCAGCGGCGAAAGTGCAACAAGATTCACAGTTATTCAAAGTCATAGAGATTTGAGATCAGAAACAAAATGTGTCGCTCTTGTCTTTCTTGATTTCGAACTGCTCCACTCGTCTGGGAAATGGCGGCACTGCAACGCATGGCGGGCGTTTTCAAACGGTGCGGGGAAACGGGCGAGCCGGGGGAATCCAAAGGGCGAGAGTGCGGGGGCCGGGGGCACTGGGCACACGCGGAAGAGCATGGCGAGGCTGGGTGAAGGCGAAGCCCTGGCGAAGCCTTGCAGTCCCTGCCAGGAGAAGATTTCGTGAGTAATCCTGCGCGATCCGCGAAGCGACGCTCGCAAAGCGAACGCCCCGAGGACCAAACGATTCGGCGAAAAGAAGGGGTTGCTTTAAGATAAGACGAACGGCATCACAATTAATCGGCGTCTCTTTTTCTGTCACTTGTCTTTCCGATTGCTTGCCGGCTATTGTCTGATGCAACATTGCATGCGTCTTGCGGGGCAGTCATTCAATAACAAAGGCATATAAATAATACCAACGTGACGTCAACGGGCATGTACTTGACTTCCAGATGCCACCCCGATTGCGCTGGCGAGCCGCAAGTGGAGGGGGTCCCTTCACACTAACACACGCGCGACGTCGACGTCGGCGAAGGGGTGCCATTTTTTGTTTCAAAAGGCGCTGACGCCGGATATCGAGGGCCCCGGCTAGCCCCGGCAAGCCCTGGCAAGCCCTCCGACTAGACTCGGAACGGAGAGGAAGCGGCGCGGCGGCGGCCCTACACGCACAAGTGCGACCTTTGCCTCCTAAATCGCGTTATGAAAAATTCATGCGCCGCCGCGGCGCGCCGCGCTGCCATGGGGCCTGGGAGGATAGACCAGCACGACCAGCTCGAGGGGAAGGAGTTTAACCTTGGTCTGAGCTGCGCGCTGCGGCGCTGCTGCCGAAGTTGAAATGACTCATGGCTTTCTACAATAGACGACTTGAGCTAGGCGCAAGAAGAGGAAGAAAAGACCTTCCCGAACATGGCGGCCGGCCCCTCATTGGTCCTAGCAGCCGACGGCGGCCGTCCGCCATGTTCGGGAAGGTGTTTTCTTCCTCTTCTTTCGCCTAGCTCAAGTCGTCTATAAAACGAAAGGAAAACAGAGCGGGCGGACGACGCCACAGCGCGCCACACAGTGGAGTGGAGGGCCGCGTGTTTGCTTTGCCGGCGGACTTCCCTCCGCACCTTTGTCTTGTGTGACTTGGCTGGACTTGGCGGCCCGGCCGGGCACGGCGCGGCGCAGAACGGCGTCCTCTCTCTGATTGGCGACGATAGGCCCTGGGGGGCCACCCGCCCCGCCCCGCCCGTCTGCATCCATGACCTAACGACACGGCCGCACGGCCCTGCTGACACAAGCCATTCTAAAATTAAACCGCCCTCTCCGATTGGCCGCGGCCGCTCGAGCTAAACTTGGCTGGAAGTTTGGACTTTCTCATGAAAAGGCGGCGGTGGGTTTCGTCACGGCGGCGTCACGGCGTCACGGCGCGCGTCATGGGGCGATCTCCTTTCCCGCCACTTCCTTGTGCAATTAGGTCACCGGTTGCTCATCGCACTCGTGGTCCGCGCCGCCATGGCGCCGCTATCGCCGATTCGGAAAAAACCTCGCAAAAAGGGAGAAACACTATCGCGCTTTTTCCTGCGGCTGCCTTCCCTTTCCGGGGTGCGACTCGGACTGCACCGCCATCGGGAGCGAGACAGCGAGACGAACCGGTGGTGCGGGTCAGTGCTGCAACTTGAGCAGGCAAAAGTCCCCACTAAATGCACCAGAGTCGATAGGGTTGCCAACCTCAGCCAGGCTACAACTCCTTCATAGCAAAGCCAGGATATTTCCTCGAAGGCAGGCTTCGGTTGGCAACCTTCTCGACCGACTGAGGTGCATCGTGTTTTGCCTACTTTTGTGGCAGCACTGTGCGGCGTAGGAAAAGGGGGGGGGGAGCAGGGGAATTCCCTCACAGCACCGGTGGCATGCCCCACAGTGCCCCGCAGCCGGTGGCGTTTAGCGCGGTTTAGCGCCCCAACCTGCCTGACTGAAAAACCAAGCACCGCGCGCAAAGAAGACGGTGTGGGATTGTAAAGTTTTTGCGACAGTGTGCCGTTCCCCAAGGCGCGCCCACTTGTCGCGGGCCCCGATGACCTGGTGAGCTGGCGCGGGTACGCACGAAAAGCCCCCCGGCACCGCGTGCAAGGCGTGCACCGCGTGGGCATTCAAAATAAAGCAACTATTCATAGACTCCACTTATCGCGTTGCTCATCGCGGTGGCCGCCTTCGGCCGCGCCGTCGCTATCAGGGGCTAAAACCCGAAACCGAGCCGAGCGCGCTCGGCAAACCGAAGGGAGGCTCTGGCCGCTTATCGCAGGTTCAGGAGCCACGCCGTGTTGACCTGGCGGCGGCAGCGCCAGGCTAGAGTCTAGGCCAGGCCGGGCCTGCCAGGGCAGCGCCGTGCCGCCGGCATGAGGCCCAGCACGTGTGGGAAGCGTTGCACAAATTTGGAAAACCGCCGATAGTCTCAAAACAATAGTCCGGAGGGCGCAGTGGGATTCAAGGTCAACGGCAGGCGGGGCTCGCTCTTGCCCTAGTGTGCACGGTGCCGCGCGGCGCCGTGCTGGCCGTGGAGGTCGAGGCCCAGACCGGGCGGCCTGTGGCGGCCTGTGGCGGCCGACACCCTCGTCGGGGCCCTCGTGGCGGTAGTACACTGTACAGCCAGCGCGCAGCCAGTGCACCCCCGACGGGGCCGCCGGCCAGCGCCATGTGCCTCGGCCGCCTCGGCCCCGCGCTTTACCCCCGCGCCCCGCCGGCGACGCGGGCGACAGGCGACGCAACGTGCTGGATCGTTCTTATAGACATGTGCGGAGGGGCGGCCGGGCATTCGAAGCTGTCATTCGGTGTGCAGTGCAGTGGGTTCCGCAGCGTTCCGGCCTTCCGCCGTCGAGGACGTTGTCGGCGTCCAGCGGGCATCAGGCGGCAGGCGTTGCCGGGAGCCCCCTTCCACTTCCACGGCGTCCACGCGGACCCTGGACCGGTCCGGCGACTCCGCGCTGCTCCGCGCCCCGCCGCGCCTCACCTCTCCGGCCGGGCTACCGCTTTTTGCCTTTTACCTCATCGCCGCGCCGCCGAGCAACCCGTCCAGCCCGCGCAGTGCGTTGCTGTTGCTGACCGCCGCGGCCGCCGAAACCTCTGGATCGAGTGGCAGTGAGTTCGCGGAGGACCACGCCAAGAGCACCGTCGCGAAGAGCAGAAACCCTAGCCGTCGCCATGCCCACGCTAGACAGGTGAGTGCTGCCGAGGGCCCCGAGGACGCGGCCTTGGCGTGGCGGGGCGTCGCGGCGACGCCGAGGCGGCCTCCGTTTCCCAAGCGGATTGGCCAAGCCAGGCCTTGAGCCAGGCCGCACGGCCGCCGCGCCGCATCACGTCACGGAATGCCCAGCCGCGCTTTAGGTTAAAGGCGAAACACTCGACGAAATGGCGAAAGTGTTGGCCTCGCCCTCATCCACTGTGTCTGCGCAGGGACGAGCCCGCCTTCCTGGCGGAGTGCGAGTCGGTGCTGTCCTCGGCGCCGTCGCCCGGAGCCAGCGGGGACTTCGGCAAGGACTCGCGGCTCAGCTCGTACGGCAGCACCAGCACCTCGTCCACCACCTCGCTGCCGGGGTCTAAGCCGCCCGCGCCGCCCGCCACCACACTGCCGAAGGTTGGTACAGTCCGAAAGTCCAGTCCGCCCGTCGTGTCGGCGCGTCGGCATGCCGCAGAAGGCGATGTGCCGCTGCTTGCATATGCAGAGCGCAGAGCGCAGAGCGATGCGGTGTGACTTCCGAACGCGCGCAAGCCGCAAGGTGCACGCGGTGCACGCGGTGCGCCGCGGACGCGGACTTTACGAATAAACAGTGGCGCCACGCGGCATCACAATAATGTAAATGAAAAACGCGGCGTCGGCGGGGCGGCCCTGGGGTGGCCTCGCTGCCTCGCTGCCTCGCTGGTCCGCGTCATGACGGCGTCCCCGCGGCGCGGAGCCGGAAGCCAGGCGAGCCGAGCGGTTGACGGCGAGGTTAGCGGCGATAGCGCCCCAGGCCGGGCATGCGGGCGATGCAGATCGCAGCATTGTTTTTATTCCGTCTCTCTCTCCGTCTCCCTCGCACACTCAGTCTCCGTCCCTATGGCGTCACGCCACGGCACGCCGCGGACCGAGGACGGGGCGCCTAATCTCTGCGATGGGCATGAATACGGCATGAAGCCGCCCCCATCGGCCGCAAGCGCCGCAAGGGCGGGCCGAGGGCCTGCAGCCTTTATCGCTGCGCTGGACCAGAAGCCTGGACCGGAGGCAGAGGCCCGGCCCAGCAGGGCCCAGCCGAGATCATGGGGCAGCCGGACCAGAAGGCCGAGCCGGCCGAGCCAGGGTCCGACCTTTGGGGACAGGCCGTAAACGGGATCGGGCTTTGTCCTCGCCCTCAAGTCATGGCGAGATTAAGTTCGCCTCGGAGGGGATGAGGTGGGGAGGGGTGACCTGTTCGCGGATGCTTCACGGGCCGCCCATGACGCCGTGCTCCTTGTGTTCCAGGACCTCCAGGACCCCGAGCAGTGGGCGCTGCTCGGCGCCGTGCTGCCGCCGCCGGGCGGCTGGGCCAAGTCCAGCATCCCGCCGGGGCTGACGGCCGCGGAGGTGATCCCGCTGGCGCAAGACCCGTTCTGGTGCCGGCTGCGCGCCTGCTTCATGGCCCTGTTCTGGGTCATCATGGTGGCGTTGCTGGCCTGCGTCGTGGTGATCGTCGTCAACGACCCCAAGCCCTGCGGCGTGCCGCGGACGCCCGTCCTGCCGCCGCAGCGCAGCCTCAACGTCAGCCTGCCCCTCGCCGCCATGCCCGTGCTGCAGGTCATGGCCGCCTCGCGGTACTAGCCCGCCGCCCCGTCCACGTCATCGCCATCGTCATCGTCACCCTCACCCCCATCGACGGCAAACATCTGTGATAAATTAGTAGAAGACTCGTCATTGCAGTGACCAAGTGCGTTTGTGATTGTTTACGCGTGTGTGCGTGTTTGTCTGCCTGCGAGCGTCCCTCTTGTCTGATGGCCGGCCGGCCCGTCAGCGCCTTCGTCACCAGCAGCAGGCGTGCCGCAACATGGCGGCGATACCCCGCGCGGCCTAGAGCGCTCTGTGCGCGGAGTATCGCCAACAGTGCTGCACGGCACGGGGCATCGCCGGCGTATCGTTTTGGAGATTTGGAGGTGGCCGTCAAGCACACTCACCTCGGCGCCCTCGCCCTGGGCTATGTCCACGACCACGTCCCCGACCACGTCGCGCAAACACGTGCCGGCCGGCCTTCCCCGGGTCGGGTCGGGCCGCGGGAACCGACCAAACGACGCACCGAGCGGCGAGCCGAGCAATATGTGATGCTTACTGTGTAGCGCGTTCTGTGTCCGAGTGTCAATACTTGTAGTCAATTGGAATAAATGTGATTGCCTCTGTACGCGCGCCATGCGGCTTGAACCAATACCCCCGACCTCCACGGCCACGACCGCCAACGCGACGCGCGGCCCGAAGGCCCGAAGACCCGAAGCAAGTCGTGGTGCAGCCCGGGCCTGCCGCCTCCGGCCTGCAGTTCGGCGGCTGCACCTATTGAATGCGGAATGAGGCTTGTTTTACTGGCGCCCCCAGCCGCGCCGCGTTGTTGCTCTCGGCCCTCTCGGCTCCCAGTCGCGCCTTCTCGGCCGTTTTGGCCGTTTGGACCACACGAGCCGAGCCGAGCCGAGCCGCGGTGGGGACGGGGCGGAGCCGGGCGGAGCAGAGGGTGGACTCACTCTGCTCTCCGCACATTGAAATGAAGGCCACGCGGCCGGGCGCGCAAAAACCTTTTTACTCCACTGCCATACGCTAGCCCCCCCCCCTCCCCCCCCGCGGGCCGCCAAGGAATGTCGGGCGCGAGATAAGAGAATTGGGGGAAGCACACACGAAGCTCGACGCGCCGCCGGGAGGAACGGGCCGAAATGAAAACATTAAAACTGGCGTACGAGCCGAGCCGCCCGACACACGAGAGACACGAGAGGCAGCGGCTACGACTGCCAAACAGAAAATTTGTCCGGCTCAACCGCCGCGTGACTCACTCACTGCCCCCGGCCCAGGGGATGTATGCCTCTGACTGCACTCAGCTTTGTCTCTCTCCGTCTCTCTCGCACCTAGGGGGCGTCCCATAGGTGCGAGAGAGACACAGCGACGAATGCACTGTTCCCCGCCGGGAGGGGAGGCAGCCCAACGGGCACGCGCGTGCAGCACAGCGGCGGCTGTTGCGACTCCAGAGAGCTCGGACCGCTCGGGTCGCTGTCGCTGGAGTGACACTGGAGTGACACTGCAGTGAAGGGTGCAGGCCCAGGCGGAGGAATCCGAGCCGGAGGAGGATCATTTGTGGAGGGCCGGTCCAGCTCGGAGTGCGCGGCCAACCCCGCCGGCGACAGGCAGGAATGCCTATGGAACCGTCCCTTTCTGGTCCGCGTCTCGCCTCCCGGTCCATTCCTTGTCCGCTTCAGACACGCTTCCAGTCCGCTTTAGACACGCTTCCAGTCCGCTTTAGACACGCTTCCAGTCCGCTTTAGACACGCTTCCAGTCCGCTTTAGACACGCATCCAGTCCGCTTCAGACACGCTTCCAGCCCGCTTCTGACCCACTTCCGGTCCACTTCCGGTCCCTTCCGGTCCTTGAGAGCACGGTAACAACGCCGCGTGTTTGCCTCCGCAGCTCAAAGTGAGCCGAAATTGGTTTACCGTCACCCCGCGGCGTGGCACAGGCACTGCTGCGCGGTGCGCGGCGTGCGAGACATGGCGGTGTGAGCGGCATTCCCCTCGCGGGGCTGCCGTGGCTGCCTGGGCTGCCTTGGCGGCGGCGGAGGGCTCAAGTCGACGCGACTCAGTAAAGTAACGTCGCACCGCGACTGCCACCTCGGCACCGTCAAGGCCGTCAAGGCCGTCCCCGTGCTCGCCGATCCGATCCACCCCCTCCCCCTCCTCCGAAACCGTACCGGCGTTTATTCCAGCATTTCACTCGCTCACTGGCCGCTGGGGAAAAAGCGCGGCGCTGCTGCAGCGAGTGCCGAAGCGCCGGGCTCATGGACCTCATGGAGTCGCCTCGGCGGCGGGGTGGCCATGGAGCTTGATGCCGCGCAGCGCGCACAGCTTGATGCGATGCAGAAAGCGGCCCGGCGGCCCGGCGGCGCGGGACCCAATAACGCGCGGCCGAACGGCCAGGCGGTGGCCATCAGGATGGCCATCAGGCTGCAGAGCTGCGTCCGCAGTTTCTTCAGAAACCTCTCACTTTGCCGGAAAGAAGCGGCAGCTGGGAGCGGGGCGGGGCGGGGCACAGTGGGCCAGAAGACCGGTGGAGGCGGCCAAAACTCTAGACGCGTTTTGAGCTCCAGAGTTGCTAAACAGGCCTCGAATCGAACGTGTGACCCGACCAATGGATTCCTCGTTCGGAGAGCAATACATTGGTAGGGTCACACGTTCGGTTCGAGTCCTGCTTAGCGACTCTGGAGCTCAAAACGCGTCTAGAGTTTCGGCCGCCTCCACCGGTCTTCTGGCCCACTGTGCGGGCTGGGCGGGCCTTTGTTGGGCTGGCCGGCGCGCGGCGTGTTCGCGCTAAAAACTCTCATAAGGAACACCCCACTCCGCAAGGGCCATTCTATTCCTTTCTCTCCCAAGTGCAGTCGCCACTGATTTCTACCCCGCCCCCTCCCCGCCCCCCGACACAGCTCGCCTTTGTCGTATCGCATCCCTCGGCCTTGCTCGCAGATACTCCCCAGCCGCGGGACTCTAGGGAATCCGAGAAGGCCACAGCGCCACAGCGTTGGCGCCGGCCCCACCGCCATGGCGTGCCCGTGCCACCCTCTGGAAGATGCGGGCGACAAGTTTTTCTGGCCGCCTATCCTCGGGCAGAGAGATAACACGATGCGAACATTTTAGTCTTCGCCGTACTACAACACCATGGAACCTGTTAATGAAATGGCCGGGGGCACTTGGGCCAAACGACTTAAAAAGAAGCAGCCCTCGCCGCGCCGCAGTCCAGCTCCAGTGCAGCCTCCGTGCGCACCAGACCACGGTAAGCTTCAGCAGCCGCTCCAGCAGTAGAAGCAGCGCGCTGACCGGAGCGACGCCGAGCCGGGCCGAGCGCCCGTCGAGTCGAGGGTAGGCAATCCTGGGCGACAGGGCTGCGCCTCGGCGCCGTGCTGGCCTACCATCCAGGCGGACTGGCCAGCCGCCCTCAGGTTTTCATTTCATCAAATTGCGCCTCTTTTTTCCTGTGCCGGAACTGTGGCGCGCCGCCGGGTCAAGGATGAGGAGGCCGTTGGGAGGAAAAGTGCGGCGAGTACGAAATCATGTTCAGCTTAATAAAGTGCGGCGGCCGCGCGCCCCGCCCCGCCTTGCCAGGCCTGTGTCGCCCATCAGCGCTAACGGCGCCGCGCCGCTTCCGGCAACGCAAAGCCATCACTGCAATGGGCCGCACTTTCACTTTCATATTTCGCTTTATTTTTTTCTGAAGGCCGACGGCAGGGCGACGGCATGGCGACGGCACTGGAGGGCGCGCTGATGCGCTGATAAGCCACGCCGGCCTCCGCGATCTGCCCCGCGGCGCCAGCAGCACGCCGCCGGGCGGCAAGCGCGCCAAGCGAGCCCATTTTCATTTTTTTAAAAATAAAAATTCGGGCGGCGCGCAGACTGCTGCGAGACAATAACCGTGCGAGGCGCGACGCCGCCGTCCGTTCCAATAATATCACTCCGTATCACGGGCTTTGGGGGCAGCCAGGCCAAAGCCCAGGCCCGGCCGGCCGGCCGACCAGCCGAGCGACCGACCCCGGTGTGCCCGGTGCGCCCCGGTGCCCGGGGGTGCTGCGCTGATGTTTAATTCAACTCGACCCGGAGCAGCGGGCCAAGCGCAAGGGGGCAGGCCTGGCCGGCGAGGGCCACCCGATGGGCCACCCGATGGGCCACCCGATGGGCCACCCGATGGCGCACCGCGTGCACCTGGTGCTTCACTTTCCTCTCGCAATGCATTGCGATCAAGGGCACTTCCCTTGCGCGGCGGCCAACGCAGAGGCGGCCATGGTGGCGGCCATGGTGGCGCCCCCAGCACCGCGTCTTGGCCGTGAGTTGTAAGCCGGCGCCGCCACGCCACGGCCACGCCACGGCCACGCCTGGGGCAGCGGCAGGCCCGCCGCGCCGGTAGGGATTTCAACTTTCGAGTCGAGTTTCGACGGCGGGGAGGTGCGGGGCGGCGCGGCAGAGGGCGGCGCGGACGATAACAATTATTCGGCAATCTCCTCTCCGCCGGGCGGGCCTGGCCGGGCCTGGCCGGGCCGTGGGCTGATGGCAGCCCGATGCTGCCCAGGGAGTAAATCTTGCGGCCAAAGTAATTACTGAACAGAGCCGGCGTGTGCATGCTGGTCGTGCTGGCCGCGCTGGCCGTGCTGCCGTTCACTGCGCGGAGACGGCGGACGGCGGCCCCCCGCCGCACCCTGACGGACGCCAAGAAGACTGCCGTCGCCAAATAAATACAGCTCTGGCCGCTGCGCTGGGCTGCGCTGGGCTGCGCTGGGCTGCGCTGTGTTGCGGTGTCGGAAGCAGCAGACTGATTCCGAGGGTCCATTCCGTCGCTCTGTCTCTCTCGCACTCACGGGGCGTTCCATATCGGTGCGAGGGAGGCAGCGCGATGGAAAGGACCTTCGGAGTTAGTCTGCAAGGCCCGGCCCCTAGCTGCCCCCGGCCTGGCCACCGCGGCCTAGCGATAATATTTGGCGCGAAAATATTGTCTGTGACAATATGGAGTATGGAGCAGAGGTGTGGTGGCGGCGGCGCTAGGCGGCGCCGCGCACGAGGATCACTCTGTGCTATTCCATTCTAGATACGCTCTGTTTCCTCTCACAGCACGGCTCGGGGCGCGGTGGGGCGTGGCCGGGCGTCGCAGCGGGGCGTTGCGGGGCGGGGCGTGGCGGGGCGGGGCGGGGCGTGGCGGGGCGCGGCGGCGTGCCGCGGCCTCCTGTGTTTGATGAAGGGCGCCAAATCGAAGGCAAAGATTTTGCCCGGCGAAATGGCTCTTGCCGTCGGCGCCGCGTCCCGCTGGCTCCGCGCTCGGCCCGGCCGGGCTCGCTGGCTCCGGCTGGCTCGGCCGCCGTCCAACAACACTGGGCTAATAATGGCCTCCTCGTCTCGCCCTCGCCGCGGCCATGGCCGTCGAGACCCCCACGGCCCACGGCGCCGGAGTGTGGGCGCTGCGGACGGTGCGGACAGGCGCGGTTCTCTTGAAGCCCCGAGCCGCGCAATAACTTTTGAAGCGAGCCGCGCTCATTGGGTGTGGCCGGGGACCCCGGCGGGGATGCGGGGCACGCGGGGCACACCCAGCCATCAGTTAGGGGATGAGCGGCAGAGCAGTGGCGAGGATACACAGCCCGCCTCGGCGGCAACCACCCCGCCCCGCCACGCCAGAAATAAAGTCGAGCCGGCATCCAAATGACTTGTTTAAATTACTTTCAAATTACTCTCTCGTCCGGGGAAAATGAATAGGTTAATGTAATATTAAGGCCCCCCACCCCCCGGCGGTGGCGCGCCGCGCCTAGCGAGCGGAGGGCGGCGGCCCGGCGGCTTGCGGGTCCCGTCCGCGGTTTCTGCGCTGCAGCCACGAGATATTAAGGGATTCAAGAATTTGTCGTGCGACGAGCCTCGGCTAGCCTCGGGCCGACGCGATGCCTGACAGCTTGAGGCTGCTTGAGGCCGGGGGAAGCGCCCCCAAGAGCCCCGTCCGGGCCCGGCCCGCCTGGCCCCGCCTGGCCCCGCCGGGCCCCGCCCCATCCAGGGCCCAGGCCCGGGCCAGGCCCATCCCGGCCCAAGGCCTCTGCTGTTTTTGTGCACTAATCTCGTGTGACGCAGTAAAGCAAGTCCCCCGGGTGGATTTGGAGGACGCAGCCGACGCAGACGCCAGGGCCTGGCCCGGCCCAGCGCCTCCGGCTCCGGCCCTCCGCCGGGGCCCCGCAGGGACTAGGCGCGCGTCAAGGCGTCAACTCCCCCGCGCCTCTTAGCCTCCACCATTTTCCGAATTTTGCATAATGAAGCCGACGTTTGCGCTGCTTCACTGTTTCAGAGATTCTCACTGCCGCCTTGTCGCCTTGATCATGGCCTGCCTCCGCGCCGTGGCCGTGCTGGGCCTGCTGGCGGTGCTCGGTGAGTAGACGTTGCCGACGGCGTCGATGGCGCGGTGCTGGCGCGGTGCGCGGCCCGGACGCACCACCCTTAATGACCAAAACACACTCCGCACTTGTTGCCCCCAGGCGGCGCGCTGGCGATCTCCAAAGCCGCCAGGAAATACTCTACGGATGTTAACTTCGTGCTGTACCTGTAAGTCCAGAGCGGAGCCCCCCAAGGGGGCCCCCTGCCCCTCCGAGGAAACTTGGGATGACTTTGAAATTACTCTTTGAATGTTTCCAGACCCAAGGGCGGCAACGTGACGGTGAAGGAGCAGGACGCCGCGTCCCTCGTGTCCAACCCGGGCTTCGACAAGAACCTGGTCACCGTCTTCTACATGCATGGCTACACAGAGACCCCGAGCAGCGAGAGCATTGCTGTCGTCTCTGACGGTACGTACATTACTTACCTCAGTTTGGTTTTCATTTCCTCTCCACTGTTTTTCAACGAATGCGATGCCACGTTTGTTAGAACGTGAATCTCGCCACGTTCGTTTGAACATGATGTCGCATTCTCACGAACGCGCACGTCATGATGTCACATTCGTTTAAATAAATAAAGACAGTGAAGAGGAAACCGAAAACAGAATAAGGTTAGAGCGAGTCAATTTACCTCATTCGTTTGAAAAACGCTGTCGGCGCTTCATCTAACGCGCTGCGTTTTTCTTAGCCTTCTTGAAGCGCGGCGGGTACAACTTCATCCTCGTGGACTGGAGCTCCTTCAACACGTTCCCCTACATCAGGGCCATCTACAACTTGTACCAGGTGAGGCTTGAGGCTGGCGGGCGGGGCGGTCGGCCTTCGTCCGGCCGTGCAGATACCCCCCGCCTGAGGGTCTCTCGGCCGCGGAGTAGTGACACGCGTCTGCCTTTGCTTGCTGCAGCTGCCTAAGCCCGTGGCGAACACCATCGAGGCCATGGTGAAGGCCGGCCTGTCGGAGAAGATGGTGTGGTTCGTGACGCACTCCATGGGGTCGCAGCTCGGCGGTGCCGTGGCCAGGGAGCTGGACTTCGCCGTGCCGCGCATCACCGGTAAGGTTTCCAGTCGGGAAGCAAAGCCAGCCAAGGCCTGGGAGAGAGTAGGGCGGGGCGGGTAGGGGGCGGGGGTGGGGTAGGGTGGATGGGGGTGGTGTAAGCAAAGACACAATGTCCCGTCGCCACATGACACCCGCACTGTCTGGCATGAGTGTTTATCGAAATGCGAGAGAGGAGCCGCGAAAATTCTTCCCGCCGCTTCTTTGCGCGCGCTGTTTCCTGTTTCGAGCTTCACCGAGCTTCACCGAGCTTTACCGAGCTTCACCAGCTTCACCAGCTTCACCGAGCCTCGTCGTGCTCTGGCCGTTTCGGCGAGGCGGCCAAGCCAGCACGCCAATTTGCCCATCTGCTGTGGGCAGACCACAAGCAAAAGAAAATCCGATTGAGCGAGAAAATGTGGTCAGTGCTCGTCGGAGCACGGCGAGCCGGACTGGCTTTTCTTGCTCTTCTCGCCGAACGGAGCCCAGCGGACGAGCACACTCGGTACGCGCCTCTCTGCGGTACTGTCACACTCGCTTCGCAATCAGTCCTCCACAAAAACGAGGGGGTGGGGAGGGGGGAGCCCTTAAGCTATCAATTCCCGTTCGAAACAAGAACAAAGAAGCCCCCTCCCCACGCTAGCGTAGCTACACCGTTTTAATGTCGAAATTGGTGGCCCGGCCCCAGCCTTGGACCCCGCCTGGCCCGGCTTCAACTTCCCGGACATCCCCAGCCTCAACAGCGGGGACGCTGAGTTCGTGGACGTGATCCACACGGACGCGGGCTTCTACGGCTTCGCCACCAGCGTCGGCCACATCGACTTCTGGCCCAACCGCGGCAAGCGCGTGCAGCCCAGCTGCCCGTCCATCCTCAAGGAGTTCGACAAAAGTGAGTGATCCACTGTGAGGTGTGACAGCGCGGGCGGCTCACAGTGGGCCAGAAGACGGGTGGAGGCGGCCAAAACTCCAGACGCGTTTCGAGCTCCAGAGTCGCTAAGAAGGTTTCGAACCGAGCGTGTGACCCCTTCAATGGATTCCTTGTTCGGAGAGCAATCCATTGGTGGGGTCACACGTTCGGTTCGAGTCCCGTTTAGCGACTCTGGAGCTCAAAACGCGTCTAGAGTTTTGGCCACCTCCACCCGTCTTCTGGCCCACTGTGCGGCTGGCGCTCCGGTTCGCACAGTGCGAAGGAAGCGGGTTCGCGCCCCACTCACGGCCCCTTTCATCCCGTTCGCAGGGTACTGCAGCCACCACATGTCCTGGCGCTTCTTCGCCGAGTCGCTGCTCAGCGAGGAGGCCTTCCCCGCCAAGGCATGCGGCTCGTGGAAGGACTTCGCCCAGGACGCCTGCAGCAAGGACGCCGCCGTCGCCTACATGGGGCTGCTCGCCGACAAGAACAAGTAAGCACCTCACACACACACACACACACACACACACACACACACACACACACGCGCGCGCGCGCGCGCGGAAAAGAGACGATGCGAAAGTAATGGTTCACTAATGGGGGTCTAGCAGCGCAAGCATCGCAACAGTGGTCCCTAACAAACGACTTATGCGATCTAGATAGGTTAGGATCCCCACTGGGGTCCGCCGGGGCGGTCGGGGCGGCCGGGGCCAGCGGGACTGGTACGTGCATGCGGCAATTTGTCACGCCGTGATGTACGAGTCGCGCCACGGCACGCCACGGCACGCCACGGCACGGCACGGAGCTATCCGAGAGCCGCGGATAAGCGGAGGAAGGGGAAATCACTAATTGGCCCATCGAGTGGCCCCCAAAAAATTGGCATTCGGCATCGCCGTATATTATTAATCCCGACTTGAGTTTTTGCCATGTTAATGTTTGACCCGCTGAAAAAGCGAGGAGGCCAGTTCTGCCGGAGTTTCGCTGCCTGCCTGCCTGGCTGTGGCGGTAGTTGCACGTTGGCCAAGTTGTAGACAGCGAGTGAAGCAGTCGCTAAAGGTGCCCTCTCTTTGTCCTCCGCCAGGAGCCTCTCCGGGAACTTCTACTTGACCACCAACTCCAAGCAGCCGTACGGCAAGCAGATGACCGGGCTCCACGCCACCGGCGAGAAACTGCAGGACGTCGTCCCCGAGGTCCTGATGGTCACCGACTGGGATATGGTGGACATGAAGCACGCACAATAAAATGGAAACGAGTGAAGGACCTTTGAGTTGAGCTCGAGTGTGAAGAACTCGAAAACCCAGTTTTCACGTTTGATGCGTTGCCGCGAGGCCGAGGAGGCCAGGCGTCACTTTCGGGCAAACTTTTGGGCCGAGACCTACGACGACGACAGGACGGGACGCAGGTGCTCCAGGCCGGCTCCAGGCCCTCTGCGACTGGGCCAATCTATTTTTGCAGTGCCGCCGCGACCTCCCCACCGCCACGCAGATTTCTCTTCCACCCGCAACACAATCGGCCGAGAAGCCTCGTACAAGTCAGCTGGGGGGAGGAGGGGAGATATTAAGGTTGGCCAAGGACTCTTCGTTACCGCAGTATTCTGTAATCCGCCACACTGGTTCATCGTGGGCCAGTTTTGCCCACTGGGTTGGCAGCACTGGCAACCAGTCCCGCGAGGCGGGCGGGGCCGCAGCAGGCGCGCAACCGTTCACCGCGCCTTGTCGGGGCTGTTTGCGATCCTCCGTCAAGTTTACAGCATCGCGCTGCTCACCTCGCGTCACGCCGCGTCACGCCGCCGCGAGGACTCCCCCGGGACTTGTTCCTCACTTTTCCAATGTAACTTCACGCATCACACTTGGGATGCCACCTCGCTGGCGGCGGAGTGGCTGATGAAACGGACGGCTTATAACGAACGGAAAGCGGCCGGGCTTCGTCTTTTCCGCAGCCCGCTCCCTGTTCGAGCCCCCCGGGGCCGTGGCGCGCTCTGCCCCGCCACGCCGCGCCGTGCCGGGGTGCTGCTGCGGGATCCCGTTTAAAACACGGTCTTGTTAAAGGGCCAGTTAGCGCGGGGCGGGCAAGGCGGGCGAGGACGGCAGCAGCTCATTTGACGCGCGGAACCCCCGCCGGCCCGCTCCGGGGACGTGTCCGGGACGCGTCGTCGGGGACGTGTCTTTGTCGCACCGCCACGTCGGCCGCGCCGACCGCAGCGACCCCCAGGCCCGGTTAATCATTTCGCGAAAAAAGGAGACAAAGGCGGGATTATCCTTCATTATTTTGGTGACTCTGGCCGCCTTGCGCGCCTTGCGGCTGTCGGCGTGGTGAATGGGGCGCTGGCACCGCGATGCCGCAGTTTACGGTGGGCGGCCGCGTCGCCGCGTCACGTGACCGCCGCCCCGCCCGACGCCACGCGACGCGTTGCGGAACGGACGGCCGTCGCCGGCAAGGGCGAGTTATGGGTCCGCGACGCCACGGCGACGCAGCGCCGCGCCCCGCAGCCCTCGAGCCCTGCAGCCTGCACTGCTAGTGCTGCTAGCCCTTTTGCTGTGTCCTGCGGTCTGTGTGGGAACTCCTCCCAAAGGACACGCCGGCCCCGGTGGCCTGGAGTCCGGGAGGCCGTCCCAGTCCCTGGAGTCCCTGGAGTCCCTGGAGTCCCTTCGGAGCCTCCGCAGGGCCGTGGGCACGCCGCAAGGGGCTGCGAGGGGCCCCGAGGGGCGGCTGGCCCGGGCCCGCCACCACAAAGACGGCGTGCGGCGCCGCGTCGCCACAGGACGCGCCACGAACGGGCCGCGGACTCGCCGGCAAGGCGTAGCAACGTAGCAAGGCGACTGATTCCGAGGAACGCTTCCGTCGCCCTGTCTCTCTCGCACTCCTTGGCGCGTCGCCCGTGGATGCGAGAGAGACGGGGCGACGAAAACGACTCTCGGAATCAGTCTGCAGGCCTCGCAACGTGCCGACGGTGTTGAGGGCGGTGTCGGGGGCGGCGTTGCCGGTAGCCCTCGGGCGGCCGGGGGGCGGTCAGGGGCGGTCGGGGGCGGCCGGGGGGCGGCCGGGGGGCGGCCGGGGGGTGGCCGGGGGGCGGCCGGGGGGCGGCCGGGGGGCGGCCGGGGGCGGCCGGGGGGCGGCCGGGGGCGGCGCGCACGTCTCCTTTTGGGGACACAAAAAGGGCCAAAGGACGGCGCGACCACGCGAGACCAAAGTTGCGTCCGTTGCGTCCAAGTGCTCAAACTAATTCCAAGTCGAGACGCGACGAATTAATTTGGTCGGCGCGGGCCAACTTTGCGCGTGGGGCGCGGGGCGGCGCGGGGCGGCGCGGGGCGGCGCGGGGCCAGGCGCGGCGGCGGCATGCTGCCCTGGCCGCCCGGCCGACGCCCGGCCGACGCCCGGCCCAGCCCGCACCACAACACCAACTCTGCATGTGACGCAAGCCGCCGCCGGGCGCGGCCGCAAACACACTCACTCACACACACACACACACACTCACACAAAACACACACGCAAACACGCCACACACTATTTAAACGAATCAGTTATTACAATATTGGGCCGCGCCACGCCGCCGTCCCTCCAATCAGGGTTCGTTTCACGTTGATTAAGGTACAATTAGTTTGACGGGCAAGATACGGGCGAAAGGGGAGGGACTGCCCCGGAGGGTCGCAGCCCGCGCGGCCCGCGGCCATGTCGTTACAGAACAGGGCTGCCGTTTTAATTGGCCCGCAGAGGTGTGTGTGTGTGTGGGGGGGGGGGGGGCGTGTGTGGGTGTGTGGGTGTGGAGGACATTCGTTTGCTCGCCACCGGAGAGTGTTTGTTGGCGCGGGGAATTTCCCTGATAGGTGCTTCCCGTTGTGCCCGCCCCCGACGACGGCTCTGCGTCTCCAAGGCGGAGGACTGCGCTTGTCAACTCGCGGGAGACGGGTTCAACTCCCACAAGCAGCACTATTTTTTTTTTCGCGTGTATACCTGCACTCCTCTAAAGCAGGGTGAGTGCGGCGGGCCCTCGTTCCTTTCAATTTGGGCGGCCTGCAGTGCCTTGCAGTGCCTTGCAGTGCCTTGCAGTGTGCTGGCTGCGCTGGCGTCGGAATTTTCACTTATTAATGCGATGGCGCGCAGCCCGGCAGGAAAAAGAGAGCAGTGGCTCGGTATTCTTTCGCTGCATGCCGCGCTGGCCGCGCTTGCCGCGGTGAAAAGAATGCGCGAGTATCGAAGTACACTGACACCCCGCTCACGGAAGCACCCCGGCCGGCGCGCCGCCGCGTGCCACGCGTCGAACTTTGGAAACAACACACTGTTGGCGTTGTCTTTCACGCCCGATTTCTTTGTTTCATTTTTTTTTTGGGCCGTCATTGGGAACACCCCTTGCTTTTTCAAGGCGTTTTTAAAGTTGTTTTTTTTTTTCGTTTTTTTCGGCGCTGTGGTTGCGTGGCGTGGGTACGGTCTTCTGGGCGCCGCCGTGGCGCCGCCGTGCCGCCGTGGGGGCGCGCGCGGGTCGTTATAACGTCATTACGACTGTCATCGTCATCGGACGCGCCACGCACCTCCAAATTCCTCCGATTCATTCACGAGCCGGCCGGCCCGCCGTAAATTGCCAATGAGAGGAAACTGAAAAAAAGGGGGAAGCGACCGGAGGAGCTGAAAATCGAGACAGAAACTGCTGCTCGCGGACATTATTTCTCCATCTTTTTTTTTTATCGCAGTGACAGGGCTGCCGGTCGGCAAGGGCCGCGGAATGAAGGTGGAGACGGCCAGAAGGACGACGACGAGGACGAGGAGGGGGAGGGGTGCCAGACTTTGCCTGTCCTGTGTGGACGCGAGAAGAGAGATGGTCAACACACATTTTTCACCGCGCAGCACCAACGTTTGCCTGGGATGTGTGTCCCCCCTCCACCTCCTCCTCCTCGAGTGCAGTGTGTGGAGTGAAGTTTCCCCGTGTAGCTCAGAAAAGGGGGCGGGAGGAGGGGGGGGGTCGTTTGGGGGCCGTACACGTCTTCATTCTATTCCTCCGGGAGGACTGGAACCCCGGCACCCTGGAACCATGCTGGAACACTGGAACATGCCCCGGCCAGGCCTTGGGCCACGGCGCGCGCATCGTACTTCCAGACAGATTCAAGAAGTACACATTCATGGCCCACACCCGCACCCGCACCCCCACTGCCCAACCCCGCCCAGCTAGCTAGACTTGATGCGCGCTCGCGGGGGTGCACGTGCTCGGGCCAGTGTGTGTGTGCGTGTGTGAGAGCGCGCGCGGCAGATCGTCGCGGCCAAGCCCCCTAACCCCGTTGAGCCCGCCGCCGTGCGTTGCTTCGCCCTGCTTCGCCCTGCTTTGCCCTGCTTTGCCCAGGCCGCGGCGCGGCAACAAGGGATGGAATACTGGCGCGCAAGCAGGAAAAGCAGAAAAATAATACGGAGCGGGTATTCGAACGGCCTCCGGGCGTCAGATATAGACGGCGTGGCGGTCCAGCTCGTTAATCACGCGAAGCGCTAATCTGCGACAAATCCAAAGCCAAAGGAAAAGGGGTCTGGCTGTCCGTACAGTGCCGGCACGCCAGTCGCGCCCGGCCGTGCGGTTCGCCGGCAATCTTTTTGGCCCGCCCTTGATGACACGCCGCGTCCCCACTGGGCCGCCACGCTCTCCGTTCCGCGCGACGGAGCAGGCGGAGCACCGCGCCCGGAAACGCTGTGAGCCAACACGGAGTGCGTGAGCAGCGCGAGCAGCCCGATCAAAGGCCTCTTTGGAGGCCGAGCTGGAAATGAACCGCCTTTTTTATCATCTCCGACCGGTGACGTTCTGTGCCATCGAGCAATTACGGGCGGCCGCCTTGCAGGGCATGTCCGCCGTCGCAGAGGCCGCCGTCAGAGGCCGCCGTCAGAGGCCGTCATCGGAGAAGCCAACGTCGGAGGTAGACGGCGGAGAGGCCGCCGTCAGAGGCCGCCGTCGAGACCCCTTCGGAGACCGCCATCGGAGGCCGTCATCGGAGAGGCCACAGTCGGTGGCCGCCGTCGGAGGCCGCCGTCGCAAGCCGTATGGAAGGCGCGTGGACCCGGTAGTCCGAGTCCACTGAGTGCCGACACGCGTGCCTTTGTCCGAACGCGTCGACAAGAAACTGCTTTTACGCCATTCCGCGCTCCAACAATATTTCCCGCCTTTTTTTTGTCTTGTGCACTGCCCCCTTCCCTCCAGTGGCTGGCTGACCCAACAAAGAGGCTTTTCTCGGAGCTCTGGCCTGCCTGGCCTGCCTGGCCCCGGGCGCCA